AGCTGAAAATAGACACCAACATCGGTAGCCTAAAAGGTACTTGTTAAGCTTAAGGTTCTGTATTGATATTAGCTAGTCATCTTTTAGCTAACATTACCTGCATCCAACAGCTTTACTCAACAGTCGGTTAGTTTGGGTGAAAAACTGTGAAAAGCTCTTTGCTATTTGCTGGTTTGCTGCCATGATTCTAACACAAACCTGCGTATCTGCGTACAGCAGCAGCAGGTCTCCTTCACTGCCCACAGGTGTAAACCCAGCGCAAGCGTCGTAGCGCTCATGTTGCATTTAAAGGCCGCTCGAAAAAACAGGTTACCAAATGTTAACAACGGATTAAACAGTTTTAACTGCTGATAAAAGTGACAGAGGACACAAATATGGGAAGTGTGGAAGTCCCTACTGTATCAGATTGACAGGAATAAGAGAGTTGGCCATTCTAAGGTAAAAACCCAGCGCATACAGCGTTCATGGTTTCTTTTTTCATCCAGACGGCTTCCCGCGCCCTCCCTGCAATGGCACGGCGCCCCCCCTAGGGGGCGCGTCCCACAGTTTGGGAACCTCTGACTTAAGCTAACCAGAGCTAACTAGCGCTCTTGGCAAAGGAAGAGAAAGGAAGAGATCATGGGGTCCTCAGAAGTTCTGGTGCCCCCCAATAATGCCTGATTTATTTACATTCTTTTCATTTCTGACGGTGTTGACAAAAACTAGGGACAAATTTCAATGGAGTTGGAAAATATATAAAAATGATTTTTAATTCAATTTATTGATACTTCTATAATTATTTATATGATTACTTATACTTAATTGTCACAATATATAATTTTAGTATTTCTTTAATTATTTTAAACTATTACAATGTATTGAGTTCTGCTCCTGGACAAGGGCTTTTACAGGCATCATCCACCAACTACAATGTTTAAAATTAAAAAATATTCAGCAAACACCAGGAAAATATACATTGTTGTGCTCACATGACCCAGGTTAGTTGAGTCAGATATTTGAAAAAATTATATTTTGTGTATATTTTATTCAAATTTTGTGCTTTATCCATAGGACCTGTTTTGTCCCTATTCTCAAGAATCACTATATATCCTGTCTGTACTTTGCCAATAAAATGGTTAAAAACATTTAATGTATGAACTGATTTTCCATAATTTAGCTTATATATTTAATGTACTGTGTTTTAATTGTCACCAACTGTGTGTGTAACGTGTTTCGTGTGCTGAGGAGCGATCATAAACGGCAAAGAACAGATTCGAGGTGAGGCAGGCAGTTCTCGTGCCTCATCGCTGGGGTCGCTCATGAACCCCAGACATTGTGAATCCACAACTGCAGAGTAAGAAACGGTAACAGCGAGCTAGCGATACAGTAGCTGTGCTGACACAGAGAGCGAGAAAGACGTGGTTTTTAGTTGTACTTTAACGGTTTCTGCCTTTGCTGTTAAGCACAGCACAAAATTAATAATATCTACATGTCTAAGTTTGATTGAGATCACGGAATTATTCTGCGGCGGCGGCGTGGCTATGGATGGAATGTAAAGCACAGACATAAATACATAGACCCCTCATGTAGCAGGTCAGCCCGTTGCTGCGATACGCAACAGCGTCCGCCATATTGAATGTGGAATATGTGCCAGTAAGGTAATACAAGTAAATGGACCGAACTTCATAAAGTGCCGTTCTACAAAGTATTTTAAATTAACACCTGTCATTGACACATTTTCTCACACACTAATATATTTGGAAATCTAAGAAATGACTAAAGACAGAGTTTCTAACTTTTGATGTGATTATTTAATTGTTTTGGGGCATTTCTGAATACTGAGCACAATGTTTTTATTTGATAGAAATTATTCTGATAATTTTTATATTGACATTGATGAACAGACACTTTTACAGTGTTTAATTAAAGAACATATTTACATAATTCCATAATTTAATGTACATTTAACGTTTCAAGACAAGAAACAAATAATTTTCATGTATTTATTTTTTATACATTATTGAGAAATGACTTTTGATTTATAAATCAGTCATTGTCAAACATTAAACTACATATTTTTCTTACTTTTTTCCAGAGAAAAATATTTATTACAGAATGTCAACTCTGCTATTGACAGCAAAGAGTGAAAATAATTCTTACAGAGTAAATTATTTTTATTTCATTACATAAGCTGTATTAATACACTAATACTTCAGATTGAGATATTAAAAAAAGTGAAAGAATAAAACATTTATTTATTATACTGGGAACACTGGTCACAGGCAGGGCTTCAGTCTGCTGGTCACACTGGGAGAACTCCAGTGACTTCTGATACGTCCTGGTTCACAGGCTAAAGCCAAGGATAAAAGAGAAATTATCCAAAAGTGAAATAGAAAATACATATATATTTCCTTCACATTCAGAAAAAGACATTTTCAGCATGTTGGGCTCTGACTCGTAGCATCTTTATAGCTAAATACCGACATGGTGAAGCTGAGCTGGAAACAGACTGAAGAACAGCAGCTCCAGCTCTGATCCTGACTGATCTTTCCTCACTAAATCCTCTGGTTTTTAATTAACTTCTCCTCTAACAGCGGTTTCTCATCAGCTCTCTCATTAGATAACAGTATGAAAACGTTAGCTGCTATGCTAACAATTAGCGGTTATTTCGGGCCAATTAAGCTACATAGGAAATATTTTTCGGTTGTTTATAAGCAAATTTCTGGCTGCAAAGTCAAGTAATTCTGATCTTTCATCCTTACCTGTGAAAGGCAATGCCAATGAATCCAGTTTTTTTCGTAAAACGGTTGCAACAGGTCCACACAGCACAGGACTTAAGAGCTCCGATCGCCCTGCTGCCACATAGAAGATGGCGGACGCTGTTACGTACGACTCAGCGCTCCATGAGGGGTCTACGTATATGATGTCTATGATGTAAAGGAATAGCCTTTTTGTCCTCCAGCAATGTAGGCATGTGCGAAATTTCCTTATGTAAACAATAACATGCAGGGTCTAGGTTTGTAAATCCGATTATAATTAAGTCGGTGCCTCACCAGCTATGAACCTCACCGATATATATGTATATATATATATATATATATATATATGTGTGTGTGTGTGTGTGTGTGTGTGTGTGTGTGTATAATTTTGTCATAGTACCCCCAAGAATTTAAAACTATTTTCACACCTGTTTAAACCTAAAGCAAAAAATTAACAGCCATTCCAGGCGATCAGCAATGATCGGTGATTGGCAGAGATAGGCCTCATGGATGATCGGTATCGGAACTGGCAGCCAAAAAAAACCTGATCGGAGCATCCCTATTTCTCACAATAGTTTAATGGAGTTCTGGTCCGTTTCTCCTGACATAACTGATGTAACTCAGTCGGATTTGTAGGCTCACTCACAAACCCAACAGAGTTTGTGAGGTGGAAGTTGTGGGAGAAGTCTTCCCACAACTTCTCCATAGGAATAAGATCAGGACTTTGTGATGGCCACACCAAAACACTGTCCTTAAGCCACTCCGTAATCACTTTGGCTGTAAGCTTAGGGTCTTTGTCCATTTGGAATACCAATTTGAGCCCAAGGTTTTTTTTCCTGGTTTTTGTCTTAACATGTTGCTTCGTAATGTTTAAAATAATGTTCTTTCCTCATGATGCTACCTATATTATGAAGCTAAATAACATCACAACATGATGCTGCCACCCCATACTTCACAGTTAGGGTGGTACAAGATTCCCCGTTCTCCCTCAAAATGTATCAATGGTCAGTATGGCAAAACAGTTCCAGTTTTGTTTAATCAGATCACAGGACATATCTCCAGAAATGAAGATCTTTGTCCCTGTGTGTATCTGCAAACAGTGATCTGGCTTTTTATGTTTCTTTTGCAGTGAAGTTTCTTTCTTGCTGATTGACTTTACAGTCCATGTTTGCCCATGTATAATGGCTCCGACTTACTAGCTTCAGACAGTATCTCCACAAGGCTTTTGGCTTTTGTTCTGTGTCTCAAATATGCACATTTTGGATGGTTGTACATCATGTCTACCGTTGCATAAAATTGTTTTAACAAATGAATCTCTGAATTCCTGATGTCTTGGCTGATTTCTATTCACCGTCCCATCATGTCAAACAAGAAAGAAGTGTCTTCCAAGTGTAGCCTTAAAATACATCCACAAGTGTAAGTCCAATTAACTCAAATGTTTCAGTTAACCTATCAGAAGTTTGTGGAAGGAAGCCCAAAAAGTCATAAATTTTAAATGGCAATTAAAACGTATGACTTGGGTGACTTAGATACTGACCAAATGTATGTAAACTTTCGAATTCAAGGAAGTTACAAAATATATATATATATATATATATGTTCTCGCCGATTTATAGAATGCAAATTCGAAGATCAAATCAGATACAGCAGGGGAAACAAGTTGTACAACTATGTCTGTGAAGGGGTGAACAATAAAAGCAATTTGGTATATTGATGAGCACAGTGGCTCCAAAATAAATCTGAACGCATATGGAAATATCATGGTGAATGTTCTGAAGCTTAAAAAGCTATCAAAAACTTATTGTTAGTTTAAGTTTGTCTGTGTGTGATCGGGAGTGTCCCCTAGCAAGGTCAATGATAAAATATTCTACACACCAATATAGGTCATACTACAATTTCTCATGATCTTAACAGACAGATATTTGCCCAGTTTGATGTCCTTTAAAGACATGAAATCATGGGGTGTGAGGTTCAATGTGGGATTGCAGGTATAGAGCATTATATAATAGGATCCCCATGTACAATATGGGAAATTCCTGCTTACAGTTACAGGAATGTGTAACAATCTGGATGTTTGCATCAGAGCCGTGAACTTAAATGATAAACACTTCTGCATCAGTTGCTTTGTAAATAAACTTTTTTTTCTTTTCTTTATTTAACCTGTATCTTATTAAGTAAAATGTTTGAGGCCTCCTGATCATGTCTCCTGATTCCAAAATATCAGGAAAGACAAAAAACATTGTGCAGAATTGACATTTTGTTCTAAATTTTAAAATAAAGCTACAGAATACTTATGCTATAAGTGCATTCAGGATTGTTCACAAGCCTAGTTTATTAGGGAAGCATTTACTCTGCCAACAAACATCAGTTTGCTGTATGTGTTTTCCTAAATCAGTGTTTTCCAACCCTGGTCCTCAAGGCACACTGCCCTGCATGTTTTAGAAATGTCCCTGCACCTCATTCAGCTGACTGCAGTTCAGCTGCTAATTGAAATCACCTGTGCTGAAGCAAGGAAACACCTAAAACATGCAGGGCAGTGTGCCTTGAGGACCAGGGTTGGGAAATACTGCCTTAAATAATTTAAAATGACTGTCTAAAAACTGTCTTTTTGTCTTACGAGTAGTACTATTTCAGCCACAAGGTGGCGACAAACATCAAAACTGTGACTCTAAAAACTCAATCATTAGTTATAACAATATACGCCCCTCACCCGAAATGTTCGCTGGAAATAGGCACCAGCACCCTTCCCTACCCCACTAGGGACAAGGGTGTACAGAAAATGGATGGATAGTTCTAAAAATACTGATGGACTGTATGTAATGTATTCCTACCTCTTCCACCAGGGAAAGCCCTGTCTTCATCCTGCTGTCAATAATATCAGGCACTCTGTTGGGAATTGTCTGAGACAACATCTACAGAGGTATATGAACAAAACTTGGTTAGCTTTATGGTAAATTATAAGTTCCAAAAAGATAATACCTACACAAAACAGTGTAAGAAGACCTCCACATAAGACCTCATTTATTTATTTATTTTACAATTTTGTTAGCTGCTGATTAAACTGAAAGTTTCAACCTTGACATGATTATATGAGTTGTTTTACCAAGAAATCCATCAGAAGCTCCGTGAAAATGGTTGGACCAGCCTCTCCTGGCTGTAGTCCGCACGTTCCCGACAAAGGGGGAACAGATTTTCACAGGGGAACAGAATTTCGCACAAGACCTGCCTGAGCCACACCAGATTTGCTCATGGAAAACGAATCTGGCCAAGGTGACCGAGACCATACTGGTTAGAGGCGGGCTAGTGGAAAAGCGCCTTTTCTGGAACCTCGAGAGCTTAATTTCCATTTGGGCCGGCTGGAAAGGACTGGTTTAAAGAAAGCTGTTGATTGGTTCATAAGCTGCGGCGGCGGGTATAGAGATGAGTTATTTTTCAGATCTCTCAGTCAAAGTTTATGTTAGATTGTCTCAATATTCGTCATTTTGACTAACAGCGTCAATACACTTTTATCCATCAAATTTTAAATAATAATAATGGCATATTCAATTGCGCTTCATTTCTTTTTGGATTAATTAATATTCAACAATATTCACACATGTAGCAGATTAATAGCTTTTGACTTTCTCCACAGTGTCAAAAACCACTGACTGTTGCTGTTGATCCTAAGCTGCAGGCTGAATCTGCACTCTGGTGACTGACATTAGAAGCACCACTTCAGCCAAAGTTTTTGAAATCAGGGAACATTTCTCCAATTGAAATGATTAGAAGTCGACTCTGTCAACGAGGAGGAGTGGGAAGAAAACCCTCAAGCCGTTGTGATTCAAAGACAAGTCCAGGTCAGAAATTATTCTCAGATGAGAATTTTTTTTTGATTGACTTAGTTAAGGTAGCTTACAAGGCAGTTCAATGTGCTTTACAATATAAAAACACAAAACTAAAAAGTCATAAAAATACAATTGTCAATAATTTGAGAAACCAGTAACAAACATTACATTTTGACGAGTACCATTATCAAAATTATCAATACACATCAGATATGTTGGTCAATGTTCTATTTATTATGGTTCAAAAGCAACTCTAAACAGGCGGGGTTTTAAACTTGATTTAAAGGAACTCAGTGTTTCAGCAGTTTTGCAGTTTTCTGGAAGTTTGTTCCAGATTTGGAGTACATAGAAGTTGAAATTTATACCCTTTTCTATATAATTCTATAACTCTTATGAAACACTTTGGTCAGCTGAGATTGTTGTTAATGTGCTATACTGTATAAATAAACTTTGAATTTAAAAAACTTTGAACTAAACAACAAAATGACAGAATCATGCATTAAGAAATAAATGCCACTCTTTTTCACACTAGTTAAAACCCATTCAGTTTTTAAAGTTATCATTCCACCAGACAATTTACTATCAAACTATCATTTTCAGAATAATAAATATTTTTTTTCTATTTATTATGTAATTCTGAATAATGTAACAATTGCCATTTCTATTTCAGAAAGGGGCAGAAGGAATTATGGGACTTAGAAAAAAAAAAACAAACCTCTTTAGTTTCCTCTGAAAAGGAGCTTCCTTTAATGGCTATGTCAGGTAATGTAGATTTAGTGCTGGGAGAGATCTAGAAAATAAAACATTTTTGGGTTAGGCAGATAATAGAAAAGAACCATCAAACTTTTAGAAACACAATCTAAAACCGAAAGCATATTTGTAAATGAAGAACCTCAAAAATTCAGTTTTTAGACAACTCCAGTGACAGTTTTTGTCTCAAAAGATGTTTGAGAGGACCCTACCTCCCTGTTTGTGAGGGCGTGTTCACCAGCTAACAGCAGCATGCTCAGGCCTCCCATCTTTGTGGGGTCTTAAAATGAATGGCACAAGTTAGAAAAGTAATCTAATTCTTCATCATCTTACTACTATGCTATTAAACCCACCTGCCATGGCAAAGTTCAACTGGTGCAAACTGTCGCTTTTGGGCACATTTTTGGCAGTAGAGTCCTTGGGTGAGTTACAGGAGAAGGACCACACCTTTTTGCGGGGACAGCTGACATGCTGATAGGAAGAGCTCTTGAGTGGCTTGCTCGTGGTGGGACACCACTTATAGCCTGGGTTTGCCTTCATAAAGGCATCCTTATACTAGAAGAACAAAATAAAAAGAAGTGATCTTGTTGAAAATAAAATCTGTATTACTGTAGCCATGTTGCAATCAATCAAAATGAAAACATGTTTTCATTTTGCCCATTCAGTTTTGAAAGTTATCATTCAACCAGAATATTTACTATCAAACTATCATTTTCAGAATAATAGATATTCTTTTCTATGTATTATGTAATTCTGAAAAATGTAACAATTGCCATTTCTATTTCAGAAAGGAGCAGAAGGACTTAGAAAAAAAACAAACCTCTTTAATTTCCTCTGAAAAGGAGCTTCTTTTAATGGCTATGTCAGGTAATGTAGATTTAGTGCTGGGAGAGATCTAGAAAATAAAACGTTTACACTGCATATGTATCCACTACCTTCTGTGGGTCTAAAAGAGTTGATGAGTATGTCCATTACCATTACTGTTCACGCCCTTTTTCTTTTTTTTTTCTTCTGCACTGAGGAGTTATGCATTGGGGGTATTTGTGAACGGTCAAAACGTACAACAAAGAAATGAGCATCAAACCTTAGAGTCTCTTAATATATTTTGTATATGTGTTGTGACATTGTCCTATGCTGGCTAGAAATTTAAGGGTTAGGTCTTTTCATAATCATACTGGTTTCTGTGTGAAGCAATATCGTAAGCATTTAAACAATTTGGATAGGGAGAAGATGGACTTGGAGAACTGAAAATATAGCAGACTCTTTTAGAAACCAGCTTTGTTTCGTTGTAATAATCTTTTATGTTTACTTTACTTGTTATTTATGCCCTTTTTTCCATTGTGTCATGTTTTCTTCAACGTCCTCTTTGTCAAGTTCTTATTATGTCTTCAGTAAATAGAGCACTGACCAACATCACTTTGGTGGACTGGAATGTCCGGGGACTAAGCCATCCAACAAAATATTCTCTCATCACTATAAGTTTAAAAGTCACAATTTTTATCTATAGGAAACCAATTTCATGAATGCGTATAGAATCCTCAGAGCAAGCATATTTTCACTCAGTTTGCACTCACAAGGTGAACAATTTAATAGGCCAGTCGATTCGCTAATATTTACGGTCCTAATTGGGATAATATGGACTTCCTTAGCAATCATTTTTCCATTCTACCAGATCACAGAGTTGCACAGTTTAATCCTGACTGGAGAGCTGAATTTGAGTTCAGTGAATCAATACGTTTAAGACATATGGAATAATAGATCCCTTAATATTTACATATCTGTCATCCAACCAATTTTCATTTTTCTCCTCTATACACCCAATATGTTTAAGAACAGACTACTTTTTAATTGACCAAAAAATGTTGCCTATGGTTACCTGAGTAAACTATCACAATATAGTAATTTGGATCCTTCTCCAGCAATTCTGGACTTCAGCTTCCCAGGAAATATGTATTCCACCTTTTCATAGTGGTTTAATGGCTGGTTATAATCTGAACAAAAGTTTACTGACTTCATTAATATACAAATATATATTTTTATTGAACTGAGTGAATTATCTGAAATAAGTAACACGTATGATATAAATGCTAGGTTTAAGAAGTCTTATGAAAATTTGTATGCTTCTGAACCTTGTGATTACTGAAGTAATTTTCAGTAATTTAATTATGATCATTCTAGATGACTCAGATAAATTTAAATTGAAGAACAATACTACTCTATCAAAATTAAATTAGGCTATCAAAAATGTATTTGAAATTTGTTAAGGTATCTAGCCCAGATGGGTTTCCCATTGAGTTTTGTGAGCCATCTGAACCTAAATTAGTCCCTTTACTATTAAAAGTCTTCAGGAGGGTTTTAGACAAGGCAGCCTGACCTGCAACTATGACACAAGTAGCTATTTCAATGCTACTCAGAAAATCAACATTTTTTCTGAGTGGCAAAATCGTCGCAGTAAGATCGCTCCACCACTCAAAAGTGTGACCCATATTGCTGAGTTTCAGACATGTGACCCAGATGACAAAATTCAGATGGAGGTCTGGAAGTGGATTTCTCCAGTTCAAAACACAGCAAAATTGATCACAACAAGTACGGTAATGCCGTAAATAGGCTGAAACAGATGAGGCATCTCAAAAAAATATACGTATATTTAGGATATGATCCGTATTATCTCGGTAAAAAAAACCCTTCTCATATAATCTTGAGGATTTACCCAGTGTCGAGGCGATCCACATAACTAACTATCTGGTGCTGCAGACCTCATATAATACGACAAGCCAGAAAAAAGTTTTCAAAAGCCTGGAGAATACAATCATTTAGTTTCAGCTTGGGTCAACCATTTAGGATGAAAAGAAGCATTAAATGGTTGTCGACTTGTTTCTGCTGGGTGAGTAGTGAGTTGTGCTATTTTAAGTAATTAGTCTATGATAATGATGCAATGGCTAACAACAAACTAACCATGTTATTTTATGAGTTTGAATCTCCTGGTAAATAATTTATTTAGCTTCTGTGAACCCAAATTCATGCTGGAGTTGTACGTTAATGTTGAGTTGTTGTAGGACGCTGGATTCAGGTCCAATGTAGGTCAACGATTTGCTCCAGTCTACAGAACCCCATGTTTGTGTCTGGCCATGAATATAGTTTGAGTTTGTGTCCAGAACCATGTGGGGGAATAGTCACAGCTCAATGTGACTGTATGGCTGGGAGCCTGGGTAGGTTATATTTAATTTATTTAGCTTATATATATATATATATATATATATATATATATATACACAGTGTCGATATATATATCGACACACACACACATATATATATATATATATATATATATACACACACATATATTGCAACTTTAGGCAAAGAATATAGGTTAAAAAAATATGGACAAATTGCACATCAGGTCAAGTTATCTGTGGTTTCGCACTGGTAACTTCTTGGTTTCCCACAAAACCAAGCACAAGGGTCTGACCTTAAGAGATTTCAAGTAAGGAGCACTAATGGAGCAATAATCTTAGGTGTATGTACAACTAATCCATCAATCTTTGACGACTGAACCTGATCCTGGAAACGAGCTTCCTAATCACATGCTTATTCTAAAATCATTCACACCTCAAGGAACAAACCTTGCACTCTTATGCTCTTATGCTGCTGCTTTTGGTAGCACTCTCACAACGATATCCTGATATCAGGTCTACACCAGAACCTTCCTTAAGTTTTATTCAACCATCACCTCATCATTTGTTCAATATCGCTTTCGACTTTATCACGAGCCTAAAACCTTCCAAAGGTAAGACTGTGGTCCCAATCATCAACCGTATGATTTCTATAAATCGTATAATCTTATTTATACAGGAGTAGAAAAACCTCAGCTGCTGAAAATACCAGCCTTCTCGTCCACATATCAATAGACACTATGGCACACACCAGAAGATTGTATCTGAGAAATATGGAGAGATTTATATTCAAATCTAGAGTGAAAAAAACATACAGAATTTAGGTTTCCATACAGTGATTGACAGACTGAACGATTCAACCTGAAGTTGTAGGCTGCTTCGTTGTGTGCAACAGTTTCCAACAGATTTACATCAGGGAGTAAATGTTTACACTGGACAGAATATGCTCATAACTCCCATGTTTTACCTGCCACTAGTTTATCTACCCATGAGGTTCATCAAGGTTAAAAAGAAGAAATGAAGAAAGCTTCTGTGAGCGCTGTCATCCATAATTTCTACTGACTTTATGAGCTTGAGAGAAAGCAACTCAGTAGAGAGTTGCTACTGAGTTGCTGGCTTTTTTATTATTATCATTATTGGTCTCAAAAATGACAGGTTAAATTGTATGCATGTAAGGCAGAGCTTAATGTAACTTTACTACACCAGTGTAGCAACATAATGTAAGGATGCATTACCTCCTTGGCCATATCAGTATATTTCTGCTTCTCCTTGGGCTCCAGCACAGCCCACCAGTCAGCCAATATTTTTGTGGCCCCACGGTTGTCAAGACGAGGATGTTCCTGTCGCACCAGAGAACGGTGCCTCTTGCAAAAGAGGAGGAAAGCATTCATAGGCCGACGTGCCCGGTGTTCATTAGAGTCTTCTTCAGCTTCCTCTGTTGTGCTTACATTATGCACTTGGGAGTCCTGATCCTCACTGCACAGCCCTGCCTATTAAGAATAAATTCATAAACTGCAATGTAGAGTCTGCTTCTGGTGGTGAATGAAGATATCATTATTTAGGGTCAGGCTGGAGAAAAAAATAACCCTGCACCAATGAGGCTACTAACCTTCCCCAGTTCCTCCTCATCTTCTTCTTCCTCTTCCTCAGAGAATTCTGAAGCCTTCTTGGAAAGAAGAGGGTGCCACTGCAGGCATTTGCGTTTAGGTCTTTTGCCAGTGACCTCCTCAACAGGCTGTGCCTTACCTCTTCCTCCACTCTTCATGGTACTACCGCACCTAAAGAAAAAGCAAAACATTTAACATCAGAAACACTGTCTGTACCTACTATGTGCAGAAAAAAATCCCATCAACTTTTAATAACATGCAACACTTAAGATGAAGTAGCAACTGCTATATAAATTACTACCAGAAGGACCATTTATGTGCATAACACGGCGGGACCATTGAAGATTTTCAAACAGGTCACAAAAAACTTGGGCATCTAAAATACAACGACTCTTAGTTTAGCTGTAGCTGCAATATTCTAGTAAATAGTATTTTTAGTGCCAACTGTCCAGCTGTTACAACAGTCTAAGCAATGCCTCAACCTTCACTAAGCATATTGAGTAACACTTTATTTGAAGGGGGTTGAATAAGACTGTCATGACACTTTCATAAACATGACATAACATCTGTCATGAACATGAATAAGTCTTTATGACAGGTGTTTATGTCATGTTTATGAAAGTGTCATGTCAGTCTTATTCAACCCCCTTCAAATAAAGTGTTACCGCATATGGATAGAGAAAAAAGAGAAAGTTGAATAAGTGGTCAACATTTTACCCAAATATAACAACAGAAATTCTTAGGAACTTTTGATGTGTTGAGATGTACTGACAAATGAGAAATGTTCTGAAATGGAGAAATCGATTTCACAATTTTATGGCTAGAAGAAGCTGAGAATCAATGTCATTCTTAAAAGAAAAACAGTAGCACCAGCTTGGATGTTTTTGCACTAACAAAACAGTGTTATTGCAAAACGGAGAATCTGCAAACAGATTCATCGTCAGGTTATTTTAGATCTTTGAACATGTGCTTAAGTATTGAAAGCAAAATACAATATGCTATTTTTCAAATAGTCATTCACAAATGGTCAGTGATTATATACACTACAGGTCAAAAATTAGGATGCAACTGTAAGTTTCTGTTCTCAATGTTTTACTAGAAAACCGGAGTTCTCTAAATTTTGGGCTGAATGCATTTGGGCATATGATCAGACTTTAATGTCATTGATATGTATGAATAATTAGACTCTTTATATATAATTCATGTCTATATATAAACATGATATCAATTAAATTATGATTCTTTTGTACATTTTGGATCTTTTTTCCTGAAAATGCCTAATCATTAAAAAGTACATTGCAAATCTGAAACTGAACAGGTGGCATTAGGAAACATAGCAGGCAAACAGCAACTTTTTATATAATTGACATAGAATGTGAATTATTACAGTTGCATGTGAGTCACTAGGAGCCTTCGATGACACCCTGGGTATGACAAGAAAAACTTCAACAAACTAACTGATACGAAAAAGTTTGGATTTGTTTTGAATTTTCCCATCCGAATGCTTTCCATATATATTCATTAAATAATTAAGCATTGTATTCTGCTTGAGTCATTTTAAATATTTACATAACAAATAAAATGAGTACAGTCAATGGTATGACTATATGTTGCTGTTCTGTAAATGTGATAAAAAAAACAACAAAACTGAACAAAACACACAAAGCAGGTGATTTGCACTCGTCCAGGAGGAGTGAATGCTGCCAGTCAATGACTCTATACAATCTGCTGGGTTTTCTTTGACAGGAAACCATTTAAATTAATTTGAATAATAAATAAATCTTAATGCCCTGTTTTATATGTAGGATCAATTGGACGGATACTGCTCAGGAAGGAGATGGGTTCTGTATTCCAGAGATTAATGTCTTTTGGAATGTGCAAATTAACCCCAGAACAAAAGTCAAAGACCTAGTGGAAATGCTGTCTGAAGCCATTAAGACAGAGTCACTATCCATAGTCAAACTATCCTTTACTGACATGGATTGAAAAGCCACTCAGCAAGGAAGAAATATTTACTTTGAAAGAACTACAAAAATATAAACTGCAGTTTGCAGATGCACACAAGGACATTTTTGGAGACTTTTCCTATCTCCAACTAAAGTGGAGCTGTTACATTTAGAGGAATAATGGGGGATGCTTGTACCATTGTATCTGTGAAGTACGGGTGTGGCAGCATCATGTTGTGGGGTTGTTTTCTTGCAGGACGAACTAGTACTTGGTCTTCCAAATGGACAATAAACCTAAGCATACTCCCAAAGTGGTTACAAAATGGCTTAAGGACAACAAAGTGTTTTGGGATGGCCACCACTAAGCCCTGTTTTATGGAGAAGTTGCGAGTAAATATTAAAAGATGGGTGCAAGTTAGGCGGCCTACAACCCTGACTGAGTTATGACAGTTCTGTCAGGACGAATGGACCAGAACTCCAGTAAACAAAGCAGCTTTGTGGAAGCAAACCCCAAAAGATTTGACCCAATTCATCCAGTTTAAAAGACAATTATCCCCAACACTGAGCTAATGTATGTAAACGTCCAAATTATATCGGTGATAATTTTGGTTATTCTAAGATAAAACAAGAAAAGTTCAGACAGTGAGAAAATTTTTTGTCTTTTTATTTGGTGTATTTACATGTCTGGTTTCAACTGCACATAGTTGAAACTATGTCCATTGGAAAATACCCCATTGGAGTATTTTCCAATGGGGTGTTTTCCACCCCATTGGAAAATACTCTAGTTAAGAGGAAACTTAAGAACTTTATGTTTTGAACAGTAAAAGACAGCCAGAGTTCCTAGAGAAAACCCATGTATGCACTCTGGGAGAACATGAGAACTCCACATAGAATTGATAACAACTGCTCCCTCTTGCAGTCTGGCAAACAACATACAAGTAAAAGAAAAGATAAGTGAGTAATAATAATAAGCAACATGAAGTAAAATGTTTGTATTTCTCACTGTGTTTGCATTCTGGGCAGCATGGCACAAATGAAATTCAAACTCCATCAATGAATGATTAAAAGCTATCTTATGGATGCAGAGTGAAAACAGGAATACTTACTGAAGAAAAAATTATGGAAATGCTGAATGAATGATGAGGACAAAGCTGGCACAGCCCGTCATACAAAGATGATGACCTATAAAATACAAGACAGTGATCTCAGTCATGCATTACACCGTCATCTCTACAGTCGCTCTGCATAGCGACAGCTTTCTTGAAGGAAAGACGAGTTCAACGTTACTTCACTGAAACATTAGAGGAATGCATCGAAAATCCGTAGTAGCCCTGAAGTAGGATGGGACATTTTGGGTGGATCATCTGTACTTGCTGCACAGCTGAACCACTCATGTGGCCAAAGGAAAACACGAAGGCCAAATCCCCGTGATCACCGAATGCATTTAAAGCAACGCAAACCAAACGAGTCCAAATCGAGCTGGCGCAGCTGCAGGGACCTTGAGCTTTACTTGTTCGTCAGGTCCGACTGATGACGGTCGGACTTAACTATTACTGTTTACTGTAAAAGTCCTGTCCTCCTGTGTCTCACGCGCAGCAACGGTGTATCATATGAGGAGATTACAGTCGTAAGAAGATCCAATGGCGTACAGTCTGTATTCCTGCCTCTAAACACAGATTGTTTTAATCTCCGTGTAAAATGTCGATCTATGACGAGCCAGACGAGCAGAATCAGAGTCCATCTTGCTGTTGGTTGGAGGAGAACCCCCCACCCCACCCTCCGCCAACTACAGAAGAGACGGTTTATACTCCTGTCGAACTCCAGATGATAATGTCACCGGTATTACCTACCACAGGGTAAAAACATCCAGAAAAGCCGGATTAAATCAAGCTTTTCCTTACCAACCTCATACATTTGTGAGCAATGTTTAGCTGGGCAGCAGCTGTGTTACAGGGAATAAAGTAGCTAGTTAGCTTGCTAGCTCTGCCTCCTGCTAAGTGGACATGTCATGTTTTATAGTGCAGTGCTTCCTAAAGTCCAGTAACCCTATTCGTTAAAAACAAGGACGGAATCAGCGATTAAACTGCTATGAAAAGCCTTGACAGGGTTTTAGCAACTGTTCTTTTGAAAGCGGCTGGCGCTGAGGCTGTGATGCGGATAGGAAGGGGAGAAAGGGGGAGGGAGGAGAGTCCTAGCACCTTAGTTGCTTTTGACGTTTTATCACGGCTTTTCTAAGGCTAGACACACATTGTAGCTACGCTGCAACAGTAACACAAATATGCTCGACCTAACGCTGCCTTCCAGCAGGATGTCTATGGGAGAGACAGCAAGGATAACCCAGCAGGCGGACATCATGTCCAAAGCAGCAATAGTAACAATTTCTCACAAAGCTGAGAGGCGGACTGGGTTTTTAGTGTCCGCTGACAGCACAAGTTCCCTGTGAGGAACTCATGGCCATACCTGAAGTACTGCTGTCAGTAACCAGCCGGAGATTCTCATCATCGGTCCTGTTCACATTTTTAACTTATTAACACATGATAACACTTCAGCACTTGCTGTACTGAGAGTAGTTCCGTTAAGCATAACAAATCCAGTCACAAAAAAGCAGGAAGCTAAAGAGATGTCCATCAAAATAAAAGGGCTCCCTCCAACATTTCCTATTTCCACCAAACAGAAACATCAAAACATGAACAAAAGTAGCCCAAAAAGCCATTTTAAAATGTTTAAAACCTCCCTTAGCTCTGGAACATGGTTAAATACACGAGCATTCTCTTGAGAGGGAGAATACCCTTTGAAGTTCTAAATGGGCTATTTATGAAATGGCTTTAAACTGACAATATCTAACCTGTATCATTTTAGCATCTTCATTTTGAATTAAATTAATTTCAGTTCATTCAAATATGGGACAGATTCGCAATGAATATGGTCACATAGTACAACATAAAAAAAATCCACTTTATTTTCAGAAATATATAGTGAATTAAGTCAATCCAGTCACACATACAGATTCCTGTCAGTTACAATTATTTTATCCTAATTCTAACACAATGTTGTCAAGTTCAGTTTATTATCTGTAAAACTTTTTTCTGTCAAGAGAAGATCAAGTGATTGCATCAAGTATGGTCATCTATCTACCTCAGCATGCATTAGGTGACAGTAGACTGTTGATTGCATTAAGTGATTCATTTTACTGCTTGCAATGACATGTGAAACAAAAAAACTTCTTTTAACAATAAGCCCCCATTAGTTTTCAAGCGAATTCACATTTCAGAACCTAGAAAAAAGCTGATAACTGTAACATTAACATAACACCAATTTAAAAAAAATTAATTACGATACATGTAAACACCTTAAAAGAACACATTTGCAATAGATGCAAAAAAGACCCATTCTCGTCTACTCAGATTATGGAGTTGACAACAGTTTCTTTGCTTTTGTTCATCCACCTGATCTCTGAGAACTGGCCACAGAGTCTCAATGAAGTTAAGGTCCTCAGGTTAAAAAGGACCTTAACTTTGTCTGGTGACACAGAAATCCATAGTGGTGGAAAATCCTTAGATCATTACCAAACTGTACCCAAAGTTTTGAAAATAAGTTTCTGAGGGATGCGTAGATCCTACCTTTTATTCACAATATTGTTTTAAGGAGTAGTTGAACTGGATGGCAGAGTCTCACACACTGGACGTGACATTACTCTCAAACAATAAATCATCTTTTTTTCCCACATTTTCAAACTACTTCTTCTTGATACAGGAGTTTAGACCAAAACTGTATAGCCCACCTTACTTTGTGTTCAGATGCACTCAAACCTACTTGTTGAGAGAGATGACAAAATTCTGCATTGGTGTGTGCAATTGTATCTACTACTCCACATATTTTCAGAGTAGCTGTTTAATTCTATATTGGTTTTTAAAATTGACTTGAAAATTCTATTTTTTTTTAATCCCTGTGTGGTCTTGCACCATCATACCTATCTAATGGTGCAGACAGATATGATGGATCATAAATCAGGATCTAGGATATTGATTTAAGGATCTTTTATCTATTTTCTACTCCCAGAGCTTGACTGGTGACAGAAAGAGGAATGGCTTACATGGACAGGGCTCCTAGTTTGTGGAATGCTCTTCCTCAAAATATTAGACAGGCCTCTTCATTATCTTATTTAATAATTCATCATCTCTTCATTATCTTATTAAATCATTAGTTAAAACTTACTTGCATAACAGGGCTTTTAAAATATGACTTTTTAATATATTTGTATTTCATTTTGTCTTATAATGTTATGTATTTTAATTGATTTGGTATATTTTTGTCATTTATGAAGTTGTTTTAATGTATTTTTTAATAAGTAATATTTGTTTAAATAAAGTGTTATATAAATAAAGTATTACTATTATTAAAAATTAAAAACAAATAAATAAGATTTATATGAAAATACAGCATGGAAGTTGGTTTTCTGACAGTACTGTATGGACTGGTTATTTTAAAATCTAAGACCTTTATTTAAACATGTAAACCGGATGTGACCCTTTCTGCTCTGTGTTGCTTGTACAGGGAGCACGGAAACGCAGCGTTTCAGAGATGAACACTGTTATCCGCTAAGATGACACATTTAACGAGTTACAGCACACAAAATAGCACCGTATGAAGTTGATTCTGTCTAGAAATGCACTTGTTCAGTCACATCATGCAGCTAAAGTTACTTTCGGTTTTCCACAAGCAAGGAGAAAATGTTGAAGTGAGCTCTCCCCTCCCCCGGCTGAAAGTGCTCCTAACCAGACTCGGCTGGCCTCCAACCACATCCCTGACTTAACTTTAGATCTTAGCCTTCTAACGCTGACAATCGTTACCGAAATGCCAAAGGTACCCCCTGAAAAACATCGGAACGAATGATTGCAGCTCCTATCTGACTGATTACTTACTCCAAGCTTCCTGGCTCTTTGACGCTTTGCAGCCGCAGAGATAGTAGTGTTGCAGTGTGAGGCACATTTGAACCATTTGTGCAGCAGTACGTACCTGTAACAATTCATGCGATAAGGTCAGACGTTCAATTCCTACAAAGCTCTAAAAGGTTAGAAAATTATCAACTGTTTTACTGTGCACAGTAAGAAAACCCAACCCAACCATGCAACATTGCATATGATTGGACACTCGTGTTAATAGACAGCTTGACTGAGCCAATGGAAAGCTTCGTTAAATTGCCATAATTGCATTTTGGTTCAGCAGTCTTGGTTCGGCCCAGCAAAGGTAGTTTCTAATGAAAAACATCGTCTGTCAGTTGTACTGATCATTTCATCAGCAATACTCCTTTTATTTTTACTGTGCAACTTAAATTGTGCATGTGTTTCACAGACACTGCTGACACTGTCACTGAACTATTTGAGGTTTGCTGGAGTCCTCAGGGGTCTGTTTAATCAAACCTAGGATTTTATTATTGTCCTTTGTTTTATCCGTGAAGAGTAATATGTTTTCGGAGAGATTCCAGACTGAGTTAAATCTGGTCTTCGCCAGACCAATTTAACAATCGATTTCAGCATGTTTGCACTGTTCACACACAAATCACAGTGATAAAAAAATAACCGTTTAATAAATTGATGTAAAATACTTTCTCTTTATTTGCAGCTAGCCAGCCATATGGATTTCACATTTTATTGGTTATTTAACTCAAACAATATTCAAATTATTTGCCTAATAAACAGACAATGCAAAAAATGTACAATGAAATTTTACAGTTTTTATAATTTTACAATTTAAAAGATTTTACAATGAAACATTTTTACAACAAAGTGACAATCATGTCACACTGATTGCTGCTTATAGAGATGTTAGGCATACTAGATTATTACAGTTGTTGGGAAGTTCTCAAGGTGTTTCAAATGAATCATTCAAATATCAATCAGTACTATTTTTTCAGTGAACATAGAAGCTATGGATATATACTTGAACCTCATCAGTTACCTCCTCTTTATGAATAGCAAGCTCTACACAGCAAATTTAAACTCTTAGGGAGTTGAATTAACACTTTGAAAGTGTCTATATTGGTCCACTCTTGATCGTGTTAAAATAACACTTATGAAAGTGTTATTTGTGATAGAGTTGAAATTTAACACACATCAGTGTTGATTTACCTAACACTAGCGTGTAGTGTCAAAAGTTAACACTATGAATGTGTTCATTTAACCCAGTAGTGTTAAATGTAGATCAACATAGAAATATAAAATTTAAAATACTACTGGTAGGGTGTTCTGTGGTGGCGCAGAGGTTAAGCACAGCCCACATATGGAGATATTAGTCCTCAATATGGCTGTTGCAGGTTCACGTCCGGGACTGGTGGCCGCATGTTTTCCCCATTCTCTCATTACCCATTTTCCTGTCAATTCACTATCAAATAAAGGGCACTAGAGCCAATACAACCTTTAAAATAATACTACTGGCAGTCAATAATCCAAAAATTCACTTTAAAAAACATTAGATGCCACTTGAATTTACAAAAAACCCAACACAAGTTGCAGTTTGAATCTACTTGTGTTTCAAAACAAGAACAACATAAAACAGCACTGAAAGCAATTTACAACAAAGGTCATACAGTATGGCAATCTGCTTTGTTTTCTTTCCCACATATCTCAGGAAACAGCTTCCCAGAGGGACTGAAATAAACAAAGTCCTCAATTGGAAGAACATAAAATTAATCCTCTTATTGATACAGTATGCATTTAAATGATCATCATAATAAAGAGTGTCCACTCTGTCAGGCAAAAATAAAAGCAAAAATAAAAGCATCACTTCACGTATCGTGCAAAGGTCCCATCAATGTTGAAAACTGTAGGTTGGATTAATGTACAAAAATTGTAGAGGAATTTATGGTTCTTTACGCTGAGGGTGAAGTTGTGCTTTGAAAGTGCATTGAAAGCTGCCATGGATGGTCTTGTGATTACTGATGGTGATCTTTGGTCTTTGGTGCTGCTCTTGTTTTCACTAACATGCAGGAGGAAGGGCTGCCCTGGTTCCATGCCAATGAGGAAGGCTTCAACACTGGCTCCCATCTTTGACAAAATGCTAAGAAGATGAATAATAAAAATTATTAACAATATATAGAACAGCTACATTCAAATAGCAAACTATGCCAATGAGGAAGTGCTTCTACAAAGAAGTAGGATCATTAGAATAACCACATACCTGCACATATCTGACAACATGGTCTACAGTTTGACATGAACTGATTTGGCATACTTCTTGTGGCCTTTGGACGTAGGAAGAAGCAGGTGAACCAACAGAAGAATGCCAGTTTTTCCGAGCCTGGAGGAAAAACAGGAAAAAAGCAGACATTAGGATAATAAATAAATATTTTAAAGAGAAGTGTGAGCAAAACTAACCAGACCCACCTCTGTGTGTGTCACCATCATATTCATTCAAAATACTCTGTCCACCCGATTTAGCCTGGAGAGAATTTTTCACCACAACATAAAGCATAAAAAAGTCAGAAATAATTACCATGAACACAACTCAGACATTAAGTGTCACATAATCATTAGATATTACAGAAATTAGTCAGCTTACAGCAGTGGACAGCATTAAAAGTGGTGCCAACCTTTATAAGAAATGTGTTGAAGTCATCATTACATCTTCAGGCACCAACATGACATATTAATGAAGGAAAAAAAAATGTCAGCCAATATGTCAATTTATTGTATGTATAGAGACAGAAACATGAAGACCGGTGGCTTGATTGAATAGATCAAGCCACCAGTTCAGCACAGCCACTCTCCCCATTATGCCATCTAAAGCCAAAAACTGCAAGAAAACGACTCAGCAATGTTAACTCAGATGGTGTTCTGACTATCAGTGCTACCTCGTCAGATTTTCCTACCATAGATAGCCAAGTCTGTCTGTCAGTGCTACGCGTCCAAAACTGCTACCGTCATGTTTACAAACAGAAAACAATAGCGGATTGTGTTAATGTTAAATATCATCTGATAACATTATTTGAGTGATGGGACTGAAGTAGAAACTTAGGAGTTATGCTTAGCATAGCACTGGAACAATTTAGAAACTACAAGATTTCTTCATCTGAATATCCTACCCGTTTAAAATGAAAAGTTATAGATGTATGCACTAATCCTTTTACTAGAATATCCTACCTGTTAAAAAATATTTTAAACACAGAGGTGTTTCAAGTTAGGACGGATTTACGGGTAGCACAGATAAACAGAACACCTGTTTCAGCTCTGAACATACCTGCTAACGAGCCAAGAAACTGAAGTTGGTTTCCAATTCTAGCTTCCAGTAGCTAAAGGGCGATTCCACCTAATTTTTCACTACCTTCCGCATCTTTAATCGACTCTAGCTTAAAAACTACAACACCTAGACACTTCAAACCTGGACTAGATTATTCTTCTCTTCAAGCTGGATATTTAAAATCATATTTGGGATTTGTGAAATATTTTTCTGATTTGTGAAAACTCAAAGTTCGATTTTCACCATTTTTTGCATCTCTTTTATACTAGAACTGCTCTAATTAAAAACCTAAGTCAGGATGCCATACAACTGTTAATAAAGTGTATGATGATCTACGCCATGATTCTATGTTGCTAATTAAATAAAATTATATGGTAATGATGTGTCTGACAGATACAGCCGTGAGTTTGTGCTAAGCGTATGACAATCTGACAGTGTATGCTGACCTGACAGAACACTCTTCTTTGTTCTTGTAATCCTCTGCGTACACTGCAGTAGCTAGCATTATTTTATTTAATT